GGAAGAGGCAACAAAAAACTTATACATGATCCTGTGGAGGGTTTATTTAATGGATATGTTTGAAAAACTTTGTATGAAGGCTGTCCCTACTAAGCATACTTTATCGATGCTGGTCAGCTGTCTGCGTGCCCTGCCAAATGATGTTCTCCATATTTTATCAGACAATGGGCAACAGATCTGGGGTTGGAGCTTACTCCCCCCCAGACTGATCGCATGCTTTTCTTTGCTGCTAAATCGTCTACTTCAAATAAATATCAGGAGGTGGGATACAAACTGTTGACCAGATGATATAGAGTTCCTTCAGTTCTTCATTCTATGTACCCCACTTCTTCGCCTTTGTGCTGGAGGTGTAATGATGGTGTAGGAACCCTTAAACATATTTTTTGGGACTGTTCTAAGATCAAACCCTTTTAAAATAGTGTGGCTGATCTGATACATACTATAACTGGGATCCATCGGTTTTTCTCCTCCACTTTACGCCGCTTTCGAGGAAAGTGTACAGGCACTCTTTATTGATACACTTAGTGAATGCAGCGAGGGCTTGTATCCCCGCTATGTGGAAGAATTCTCACACCCTCAGTGGAAATGTGGCTGCAGAGGGTGGAGGAGATTGAATTGATGGAAGATCTTACTTCATCCGTGCGTGACATTCAGTACAAATTTGTAACTACATGAGCGGCTTGGTTTCAGGACTTGGTTTATTCTCGGGCATGCTTGGCTTGATTTTATTGGGCTCCATGAGGAGCAGCACTCACTTTCTGCTGCCTGTTCAGCCTCGGGACCTTTCCCCATGAGTACACATTGGTGTGGAGTCTCTGATGCTCATTTTGTCCCTTTTTTTTTTTCTCTCTAATTTTTATAGTTTAAAAACTTTCCGGTGGTGCCTAGGAATCCCACTATACACATGGGCCTGTTACTGGTATATTGCCTATATGACTGCCACTACGATGTGATGCTTCCATTCTATAAATGTTGTCACTTTGATTTGACCTTATGTGGCTATTTTTAGTGTGGTTCTTGCTTCCCTTTATAAATAAAAAAGCAAAAAGTGATAAAGTAAAAAGTAATAAAGGAAAAGAAAAAATTATATGTTTAAATGTTTGAATATGTTTGTGATGCTGAACATTATTTAAACCCCAGTGCCCAAACTAAAACACAATACAGAACTTATTTTCAGTGTTGGCACTTAAAGAATTGATTTTGTGTTACAGTTTGGGCACTCGGGCTCAAAATCGTTAGCCATCACTGGTTTAGGAAGTCAATCATTCCTGGCGACAGTCCTCCCCCACCCAGTCCTTCCTTAACAGCCAGCTCACTACTGTAGGTAGGGAGCGCTCCAAGCTCGTTCCCGTGATGGACTACAATCTCATGTTAATTTTACTAATTTGTATTGAGATTGTAGTTCATCGCGGGTGCTTGGATCGGTGGCTACTTTACAAAAGACACACAGTAGCCACCGTCCAGAAGGAAGGAAAGTGTCAGCACTAATTCAGAGATGATTTCAGGATCTACAGCCAACTGATGCACAAATAAGCTACATTGTTAATAGTAAATGCAGTGGCGGAACAATGGGCCCTGGTGCAAGATTTTTTTGGCCCCCCCTCCCAAAACTATATATCCCAAAACTATTAATACTTTATACAGAAATGCAGAATGGCAACAGCTATAGAGGGTTATAACTCCCAGCAATACGCCATGCAGAAATGCAGAATGGTAACGGCTATAGATGACTACAACTCCCAGCCATGCTTTATACAGAAATGCAGAATGGTAACGGCTATAAAGGACTACAACTCCCAGCAAAACTTCATACAGAAATGCAGAATGGTAACGGCTATAGAGGACTACAACTCCCAGTAATACTCTAGACAGAAATGCAGAATGGTAACATAGAGGACTACAACAATAATGGTAACGCAGAGGACCAGCAATACTCTACAGAAATGCAGAATAGAGGGCTATAAACATGTCACAGAAGATGAAAGCAGTCACCTCACCTCCTCTTCCTCATCGTGGTGGGAACATCATGTAGCTGGGAGAGGCAGTAGGCAGTGTTAACAGGAAGCTGCTCGCTGGGTTCTCCTGGCTGAGACCCAAACTCTGCCTCAACGTGTGCCTCAGGCTTCTCTGCCTCACTATGGCCTCCTGCTGGTCAGCAGCCGGCCAGGCAGGCGGGCGGCGGGCGGCCCCACCACAGGCTATTGCCCTATCCTGTCACAGGTGCCTGGGTCTAAAGGGCCCCCCCCCCCAGGCTCGGGCCCTGGTGCAGCCACACCGGCGGTAGTTCCGCCCCTGAGTAAATGTACTTGAATGCATTTTTAAGATTTGACTTCTGAGTTTAGTGTCACTTTTATTATTCTTCCTTCCCTACAACATAATGATGCCAGAGCTATTTCCATGGTGCAAAGGAGCTCTTTCCTGTGTGATGTCAGCGTAATAAGCCTCTACCCTCCACCCTTACTGTATGTGGATACAAGATGGAATAGTTATTACATGACCGTTTTCTGAAAGACATTATATTTTGAGCAAAGCAAGTGTGTTGGGTTATAATACAGTGAACAATTTAGCCTCATTAGCATCCACATATAATTTAAAGAAAACATAGAAAGAAATAAGAATAGAGTGGATTTGCAAATGCCAATGAAATCAAAATAGGATGGCCCTAAAATAATATGATTGTTCAAAAAATGTCTTGCACCAATCAAATCTGTTACTTGCTTAAGAGAGCACAAAAATCACAAGCATATTATTTAGTATTATACCTTTTGAAATATTACTCATTAATACTTATGTTTATAGTCTGGGGTTCTTTAGGGTCACGTCACTATATGGATCCAAATGGCACACTTTCTTTTTAAAAACAATGCCGACAGATTAAAAGTACACTAAGCACTTTTGGAAAACATTTGATTTGTATTGGTTTTCATGAGGTAGTTCCAACTTTCAACCCACATATTCTTATTTGCCTAACGCAGTAAAATAAAAGAAGCAGCCTTACTATTACTACGTTTTCCATCTTCAGACAATCTTTTGCAGCTTGATATCCACAAAATGATTGCAAGAATGTTTGTTTTTTTCTAAATCAGTGTAGGTATTTATAGTTATATAGGTTAGGACATGGAGCTATTTTCCTTTCCATAGAAGTAAATTTGTATTCAATAGAATGAAACAATACATTAATATTAATATGTAAGTGTAGTGCTTTTTGAAGGATTAGTTATTGAATGATAGATGGAAGTTTACAATTAGCTCTATATGAAATGAGGTATGACACTATTGTGTATGTTAATAAGGTAGCAATCTCATGAAATGCAGAACAATGCAAAGCAGCATAAGCAGTTTTGCTTCTTTACACATACAGTATGTCTCAGTTAAAGTGAAATAACAATACACAAATAGATAATATATGGATGCATATGCTTATTGTAAAGCAGGTAACTGTTGGAAAAGGAGGTAACTGTTGGAAAAGGTTTAATATAATTGATGAGTAACCTGGTAGTCCTGCCATGCATTAATGATGGGTAAATTACGCTGATGTGACACAGTGGAGATTTAATTGTGTAAAGCGGTATACAGGTCACTTGTCTCCTGGCTACATACTGTATATTTATGGCAGCCTGTGCCACATGAATTCTTTCATGGATGTTAGCTAGAATTATAACACATTTTTTAAAAAGCTAGTGTCATCCTTTTTTTAATTTAATCATTATAATTATGTGCTCCATTTCCTACGGGTGCCAGCTTCAGTTTAGACAAGTGTGCAGGACATACTACGCCATTAACTCAGGTTCTGGGTGTCAAAAGATACATTCTGTGTGACTTAATATACAATGAGAAATTATTGGCATCAGAGCAGGCACTTGCAAAGTACTAGCATTAAATAAATTGCAGATGACTGTGAATACATTTATGATATGTAGCTAGGCAACAATTACTGTATATATCCCAATCTGTTAAGTGGCTTTAGACAGCTGTATGCCACTAATTTTACCAATAAATTGAATGTCCTCAAAGGTTATTATAAGAATACAATATAAATTAATCCTGTCTCTACTCTGTTCTGGTGGATCTGAACTGTCTCCATCAGACAGAAATGTGTTTTAAATGAACTATAGACACAATTTCTGTCAGGCAGGAAACTGCAGGATTTTGTAATAATGAATTCACAAACATATCAGTTTAAATCAAGTATTGCAAGTATGCGAATTTTGCTCATACAGCCAAAGAAACCTAATAAAAAAAACTAAAGCAACAGAATATTAAGTGGATTTCAAAGTAGTTAACGTTGTTGAATTACACATAGTTTAAAGTGATCAGCTGTAAAAGCTATAGACTGTAAGCTATGATTATGTGCATTTATACATTCCATGTTGTCTGACCATAATATAGTAAGTATGCCAGAGTTCTTGGATTGCCCTGTTTCAGAAGAATAATTTACAGGATTATGAATAGTAAATGAACATATTTTGGTTGTTCCTGAGCAATTTTAAAACATCTGACATACCGTATATTCTTCTGATAAATACCATGTAGCAATTGTACAATTAGGGAGCAAATAGTTTTAGTGCCTTTTTTATTCTAAACAGAAAAAAAATCCAGCACTAGGATGCTTCTGGAAATATAAAATGTCAAGAGAACATTGATTATTAGACTTTATTACAGCAAGAACTCCTGAACCAAAAGGTTGAAGGTGGAGAGCCAGTGAAATACCTGAAGATGTCACAACTTTTGAATAATTATGTAATGAGCAATAGATCCTGAGCCACGAATTAAAAAAGTTTATTTAAAATATTACTATTTACAGTTGTTTGAATATTTGTGAATATAATTTTTATGTGCTACATGTAATAGTAACCCTCCAGATCAGTTTTAGTTAAGAGTATAAAACGTATATGTTTGTATTTTCACCATCCCCCGTTTTATTTGCCATTTCTGTGGATGTATTGGGAAAGTCAAATGTGCACAGAGCATCTAGTGACACCTTGTTTGCTTTTGCTTACCTTTCAGGATGAGGTTGTCAATGTCTTTGTCAATTCCCTTAAGGTAGCATTTCCTCCACAGCCCAGAATAGGTAGAGAAAAGGGGGCGTCCGCAATCTGATTCCAGTACCCCTAATCCCAATAGAGACCTCCAGTTTTCCAGTAGATCTTCTGGCTCCCTGACCCCTCCAGCTGGAGCCGGAGACAAAAGACCCATTCTGCGGTTCTTGGAAGAGTCCCCACGGAAGGGCAGCTGATAAAGGGGCATCAGTCTGTTCTTTTGGTCTGTAGGGTCTGAATTGCCCTGACTCTCACAGATCTCCTTGTGTTTTCGAGTGTCCGTCTCATACCAGTGGTCTGTAAATATAGCTGTGACCAGAAGAATCAAGGATAAAAGGCTTAGAGTCAGGCTAACAGCAGTGACCAAGCCCCTTGTCTCCATGTCTCTTTGTGCAGCATCACACCAAGGCGACACTGGCTGGCATGATTCTGCTTTGATTCAGGCAAGGCACCCCCCTCCTCTCACTCCTGTTTGTGCTTCTCCAGCCATTAAGCCACCCCTTCTGTGATCTGCAACTTCAACAACGCACTAGATGCTTTTTTTCCACATCCTAAACCAAAATGTCATCTTCCTTGTTCCTTCAGGCTGCCTCCAGTGACAAAATGAGCAGCCAAGATGCTGTGAATAGAACTAAAACTACAGACATCTCAGCCTTTTGTGTATACTGCAAGCTCACCTCCTGCCCAGTGAACAGACTGCATGAAGCAGCAGCTTTCTGATGCAGAATTAAACGCTATATTCCCTCCTTCAGCTGCTTCCTCAGGACTCCGTCCTTTCCTACTGCATCATTCTCTCTCTCTCTCTCTCTCTCTCTCCCTCTCTCTCTCTCTCTCTCTCTCTCTCTCTTCACTAAATCAAGAAGTAGAGAGATATTTATACCTGCTAAGTGAATGAATAATGTACAGTCTAATCAATCACAATAATGTTCTACTTCCCACAGAATGTGCCCTTCCCAGATCTAGCCAGGGTATGACAAGGTCACACACAGCAATTTAGAAGAAATAAAATATCAAACGTCAATTCTGTGACATAACGTTTATACACATTTCAGTAATAACAGTGATTAAACAGTCATACACGCGAACAGCTTTTCTAATAAATTACCAGTAATATATCTGCAATATATTATGTCATAGCAGTTGCCTGATCATTTTTCATTATAGCAATCAATATTGTTATACAAGTTTTGAAGTCTATGATTTCAGAAAATGTTTTGATTTATGACTGTGACTTTTCAGGTGAATAATCTATATTTTTAGAAACCACTTTCTAAAAATTAATAAATGTATGCACTATTCCTTGAAATAGGCTGGCACTTGTGGTAAGATCGTAGCTTTGAAAATTATGTTGGCTATATCTATATTTGCATAATATGGCATATCTGATATGTAATATATGAAGAAGCATACATAGAAGAAAGGTGCTCAATCAGTTATCAATTCCTTGTCTGCTCTTCAAAGAATACCAACGCTACTGCCAATGCAACTTTGTAAATTAAATTGAACAAATCTGGGAAAAATGTAGAAGAATTCGGGGCCCGTCATTCACTCATCATGAGGAAGAAAGCAAATAAATTCTCTCACAAAAAAAAATGAAAAACTGTTCCTTTTAGCTGCATTGGCTACCTGGTTACTAGGGTTTCTCCAAATAACCAAACTAATTCAACATTGTCTTGTAATGATCATATAGCGTATGTATGACAAATGATCAATACCTAGGCATAACAAGTGGAATTATGCAGTATAATAGAAAATAACACTTGTTCAGTTGCAAAATATTTGGAAGAATTGAGTTGGAAATGGATTAACATTTTATGGCCCAGCTATTTTGAAATACCATTATCCCTTTTCAATAAGACACAGCAAAGAGAAATACAGTGCTCCTACTGAGTAGGCCTACAAATGATAATAATCTTGTATAAATGAAAACAGCTGAATGTTCCTGGTGCCACTTTCTTATCTTCTGGTTTGGGTGCATAAATGCAATTAAAATGTTCTATCTTCCCAAACTCGTATATGTACTGTATTGAGAGACTTACCTGTCCCTATACCGACACATGTCCTTCGAATCCAGCAATGTAAACTTCTCCAATTCATTTGGGGTAATTCCAAGCCCAGGTTCTCCAAACATATCCTTCTCTCTTTGAAATCCTCAGGCGGTTTAGCTGTTTCCAATATCCATAATTATTACCTATCTGCAAACATTGCCTGTTTCCCCTTTCCATGGAAAATATGATCTACCATTATGGGCATCATTAGACCTGATTCAATGCCACCCCATACATCTATTTTCTATTGTTTGGCTTCCAGCTACATATTGCCCTAGATCCCTAAATCATACCTTGACCCTCTGGGACTCTGTAAAGTTGTCTAGAGGTTTGGCTTCACCATTCCTTCCTCTCTTAATCCTCCTTTACATGCCTTTGTTTTTACCTGGATGGGATGACACCTCTCACGTTTGATGGTGGACAACACATGATTTACATGATGTTTATTGCATACTTCTACATGTGTCAGAAGCTTTCAATCTCTCTGTGACACCCATAATATCCCCTTAAGGGAACACTTTTGATATCTCCAACTTAGACATTTCCTTTTATTCGGCCACACCCTTCCCCTTACACACTGACTCCATTGGAATGCAAGTGTTGCTCTGATCCTTATGCCTCTGGTATTATCTCTTTGCGGTATTCTTTACTGATGTCTGCAATTTCAGTTAAATCATATCAACTCCATTGGGAGCGAAACTTTGGTCTTACCTTGCTCCTGTGGCCGGATCGATGCTCCCAACCAGGCACAATGTCTCATATTTGGTGGGTTTGCCCGATTTTACGCAGGCTGCGGACTAGGATCTACAATCTTACATGTATAACCCATTGGAGGCCTTACTTAACAAACCTATTTCTATTCTTCATCAAAAAGAACGCCTTCTAGTCCAACACGTCTTTACTGCTACTAGACTTACTATAGCTAAGGACTGGAAATCCCCAAACCTCAGTTTTTTAGCGGTTAAAAATAGATTGAATGTTATCATGGTTTATGAAAAATTAACCGCAACCCTAGTTGATACTCATTCTAAAATTCTTGCAGTCTGGAGACTGTGGATTTCTTATTCACAAACGTCCAATTTTGATCCCTCTTTACTTAGTCTTTGACTTGTACATCCAAACCCCTAGTGAACCATTCTGTTCTTCCTGCTTTTCTTTTTCCTACTTTTTCTTTTCTCATTTACTTTCGTTTTGTATTTACAAGATTCTCTTAGCTTCCTTTTCAAATAAACTTTGTATTACCCTTTAGCTATGTTTTGTGTACCATAACCTGCTTGGGGTGGGGTGATGGGGTTTCCCCTCTTTGAATTGTACCTATCATTTGGAAACTATGATACCCACATGGTTTATGTCCCTCCTAAAGCACTTGATTATATTTTTTTGTGTGCTATATGGAGATCTCTTAACAACTACCCTGCCTGGCACCTTAGTTTTATATGGTTTGTAACATGTTTTATGAGTTTTACTATTGGACGTTTTATACTCTTTATTACCTATTACAATTCTTGACATTTTATGGTAATTTGTTCTAATAAACTCTTTGCAAAAGAAAATAGCTGAATGTACCACAGTGCCAAGGGAAGTGGAGTACAGCATCAAATGCAAAAATGCACACGTTATCTTTTTGCTCTGATATCTTGTCATCACTGGACACCTGTGGGTAAATTTATGAAATCATGAGTGGTGCATGTGGCTTGCTGAGAATGTTAAGTGAATCTTTGTAAGACAGAGTCATTATCTTTTTCATGCAGAGCAAAGCAGCAGGTTTACCAGCAGCTTGTACAAAGTCCCCTTTGCTCTCATCTCTCTCTGTTTGGGTACCACAATGGAATTATATTTAATAGTAAAGACAATGGATTCTTCTAAGCATTGTATGCATCTGAAAACACAATATAACATAACCTCAGAGGTAAAGCCTATAATCACATTTACTGATCGTGCACCAGTTAATCCTTGGTAGCTAAGTGGTGCTCATGGGTTTACAATGATCTCTCGTTCAGATCTCTCATTCAGATGTCAGATCCATTGGGGGTTACACCAGCAAAACAAAATCATTATATATAATATATAAATAATCATTACAATTTATTGTTTTTTTCAGGGTGAATTAACTAACTCTGTTCTCCATCTCCACACAGACCACAGATGATGCAGTGACCTGTTGACCTATTATACACAATATTATACACCAATTTTCTGTTGCCGCACTGTTAAAACCCAATGCATACTGTATATGAGGTCTAAGTTGGGAATCATTAAGGATGTGCAAGCCAGGGCAGGTTCAATCTGTGGGAGGTTCAGTGAACCCACCAGAAAGCCCATGAACACTGGATTTAGCACTGAAGTCTATAGTCCTTTGTAAGGCTAATAGGCAATCTATTTTTAACCTTAGTGGTTAGACAGGGTTTTTTTGCATGCTGGCTGGTGAGTGTGCTGGTAAACTTTTTGCTGTTGTACTGTATAAAGCCGTTCCATGTGCACCTTGCTTGAAAGCTGGCTATGAGTTCATGAGTGCGTTTGCCATTTGTTTTGCTTGACTGATTTGGTGCAGTGACACACTGGGGTCTCAGCTGCCGTTGTGATGTGCGGGGTCCCTTGTGTGTCCCTGTGCCTTTAAGGAGGTTGGGCTGCCTCCTGGCAAACCTGCACCCAATTTTTTCTTTTGCTACATGTGCTCCAAGATGGAGACTCTCATAGGTTAGAGTTAGGACCGCACTACACAGAGGTGCTGTCAGCAAAAGTCCCGCTCTTTCCACGGAAAAACGCGCATGCGCAGTAAACAGCCTTCCCACGGGAAAACGCGCATGCGCAGTACACAGCCTTCCCACGGAAAAACGCGCCAAAGCGCGCACCGGAAGTGACGCACACCTAGCGCAGAAAGGCGCACAGGAAGTGACATGATTGTTGATTCCCTGCCCTATTTAAACCCGGCTCACATGCCCATTAGTTGCTGGTTTGTCTTTACAGCTTGTGTGTGTTCCTTGAATCCTGTTGTGCCTAGTCCTGTTTACTTCTGAACTCCCTGGATTTTGACTCGTTCCTGTTTTGCCGACCATCCCTGCTTGCTGCCTGCCTTTTTGACCTCGGACTGTTTTCTGGATTTTACTTCTGCCTGCTCCATTTTTGTACTGCATCGGATCTCCTGGCTCTTTGACCCCGGCTTGTTGTGACTACGAATACTGGATTTCCCCACAGCACTCGTGCTACTCCTTGTCTGCCTGGCCTTTGTCCCCAACATCAAAGGCCACAAGACACGAGGTGCAAGAGAAGCCTCCTCAACCTTCGGTCTCCCTACGAGGTATGTGATAGTACAAACCAGCCCTGTCTGAGACCGAGAGGAGTGCTTCTGCCTTGGATTCCCTGTGCCAGGAAGTGGCCTCTGCGACTCGGAGTATAAACGAACTGCAAGAAGGATATTTCCAATTGGAAGGAAGAGTGACTGCCATGGCGAATGCTGCTGTGTTGAATCCTGTCCTGCCTGTTGCAGCCGAAACTGTCCCTGCACCTCCCCCCCCCCCCCCAAGGAACACAAACCGCCAGCAACCCAGCCT